CATTTGCTGCTACGTTTCCGCTCTAACCCAGCGACAAATTTTGCCGCATTTTAGCGGTGATGAACAGCGCGACGCTATGTTTGGCGTCGCACTGTTCATCAACCGCATTACTGTTTTTTTTTCTTTTTACCTCTTAATTTGATGTATTTACAATTTGATCCCATTTGTTTCATTAAATTTATAAAACAACCCCAATGATATTTAAATTTTATAATTTTACCCCAATTATATAATTTGGACAAAATAAATTATTTTTTTAAAATAAACATAATTCTAAAATTTAAAAGACATTATTATTAATTATAATATTAAAATCTAGACATTATAAGTATAGTCCTATGAAATATAAAGAGCAATCCCAATACATAATTCAAATATAAATTACATATCTGAAATACATAACATATAAAAACTGACACACATAATATAAAACTTTATTAAAATAAAACAACTTTATTAAAATAAAACATAAAATACAAACTAAACATGGTGACGTTACATAAGATGGACAAGCAACTCTTAATAATCTAGTAGATCGGGGTCAGAGTGTCTAATATCATTGAAATAATTACCAAAATTAGAAGCAGACCCTTGTTCTTATTGATTTTTTTTGTATTATTTTAATCTGTTGAGCTCGAACGTACTCACGCACGTTTGGATCAGCAATGGAATTCAAATCTTTCATTATAATTTTCCATTCATCTCTATCTTTTTTTCATGACTATCTTTTCTCGTTCGATATCAAATGCTACTTGCCTGTCCAAGCTCGCCTTGTCTAACTTGTCTATAAGTTGGCTGTTGGAGGTCTCGATGGAGTCCACTACACTTGACTCATGATCATCATTTTTCCTTTTCAATTTGGCTTTTTTTACCTTAATAGGTCGTTCCGATGGAGTAAATGATGACAATTCAGAAGATGTTGATATAGGAGATTCCGGAGTGGGATTATCTGATTGTGATGAGTTGAAATTCACACTTTGGGATTGTTTTCGACCAACTTGTCTTGCTGTGGGGACATCATCTTTAAATTTTTCAAAAATTTTAATCATATTCCAGACATGATCAAATTTAAAACCTTTTTTTTACTTTGATTCTTGCATAAATAACATCTTTGCTCGAACTAACTGTAAATTATAGTGAACATCAAGTTATGTATTTTTCTTGCATAAATAACATCTTTGCTCGAACTAACTGTAAATTATAGTGAACATCAAGTTATGTATTTCAACAATAATAATAATATAGTGAACATCAAGTTATGTATTTCAACAATAATAATAAAATTCAAACGATAATTAATAGAATACTTATAATATCTTCATCTGAAGCACCACTTAGATTCAGATTCTCTACTTGTCTCAAGCACGCATTCAATTTCCTTACTTCATTACTTATGATTTCCATTCGAGAACGAATTGTTCAGCTCGTACGCATCTCAAAATGCTGATCTCGAAGTTCATTGTATTTGTCCTCCACACGAGACCAAAATGCATCTCGAGACTGGTTTCTACCGATAATAGGGTCTTGAGAAATATCCAAGAATACTTGACAAAAAAGCACATCTTCAGTAACCGTGTATCCAGTTGATCGAACAGACATTTTTTTGTAAAAAACAGTTGGTTTGGAGATCAGAAATACTTTGAAGAAATACTTCGAATTGGGTGGTTTGAAGTAGAATTCGTGAATGTTATTTATAGCCAATCCAAATTTGTTTTTGTTTTTTTTGTTTGAATTTGAATTTGAATTTGAATTTTTCGGTGGTCAACATTTGAAATTGAATCGTTTTGTACAAACTGATCAGCTTTACACATTGTCCAACGTTGTCGGTGGGAATCAATTTTTAAAATCAGGTTAGCTTTACACATTGTCCAACGTATACACAGTTCAGATTTTCTTGAATTGTGTGAAAACTTTGTACGAGTGGGAATCATTTTTTTAAATCAGGTTAGCTTTACACATTATCCAACGTATACACAACTCAGCTTTCCTTGAATTATGTGAAACCTTTATACGAGTGAGAATCATTTTTGAAATCAGGTCAGCTTTACACATTGTCCAACGTATACACAACTCAGTTTTCCTTGAATTGTGTGAAAACTTTGTACGAGTGGGAATCATTTTTCCCAATCAGGTCAGCTTGACACATTGTCCAACGTATACACAGCTCAGCTTTTCTTGAATTGTATGAAAGCTTTATACGAGTGAGAATTATTTTTTAAAATCAGCTCAGCTTTACACATTGTCCAACGTATACAGATAAGCAAATTTAAATTTTGTGACAAATTGATAACAGCTGGAAAGCATTTCCTACAATCAGCTCAACTTTACACATTGTTTAATGTATACAGCTAAGCAAAGTTTTATAAATAGCATACTAGATTAGGTACATCCACACAATTACTCGTTGTTGTGTTAAAATTATTATTCTCCATTTCTGCATACTTCAGTCATTCTTTTCTTACTTCAAAAATGAATTTCGATGCTGGAGGTCTATCATATTTATCATCATCTTCATCTTCGGATGATGATAATTTTCTGTCCAATATCATTGTAGAGATTGATAAAACCGAATAAGTAATTTGTGAGTACATCAACAATAACATGATCCTCGTTAACAATTTACGTCAACAAAACTACCAACCGATCCATAGTGGCTCGATTCCCGGTCATGCAATGATCAACCGCGATCGAGAAACTGCGCATCAGAATTTGGTCATAGATTACTTTGCCGATAATCCACGTTTTAGAGAAGATATGTTTCGTCGTCGATATCGGATGTCAAGAAGTTTGTTCCTTCGTATTGTTGATGCAGTAAAAGATCATGACTATTACTTCCAATAACGAAGTAATGGACTTGGTAGAATGGGATTATCACCGTTACAGAAAGTAACAGCTGTTTTTCGCATGTTGACATACGGTCTACTAGCTGATACTACGGACGAATACGTTAAAATAGGTGAGTCAACGACAATTGAAAGTATGACAAAATTTTGTCGTGCTATGGTGAAAATATTCACAGAACAGTATCTACGAACACCTAACGCTAACGATATTGCTAGGCTACTCTATTGGTAAAAAAACGTGATTTTTCAGGAATGTTAGGAAGTCTTGATTGTATGCATTGGAAATGAAAAAATTATCCAACGGCATAGTCTGGGCAATACGCAGGACGTGGTGGGTCACCAACTATTATCCTTGAAGCCGTGACAGATTATGATCTTTGGATATGACACGCATATTTCGGTATGCCAGGCACCAATAATGATATCAATGTGCTGGAGTCATCTAATCTTTTCTCTAATCTAGCTCAAGGTATTGCTCCTCCTGCTCACTATGTTATTTAAGAAAAAGAGTATAATATGGGTTATTATTTAGCTGATGGTATATATCCAAAATAGGCTACTATTGTACAAACAATCCAACAACCACAAGGTAGGAAGAAAAAATATTTTACCATGAAACAGGAAGCATGTAGAAAAGATGTAGAACGTGCGTTCGGAGTTCTCCAATCACGATTTGCAATTGTGACAGGATCAGCACGTTTTTGGAAAAAACATGTATTACATGATATAATGACTGTATGCATTATTATGCACAATATGATAATCGAGGATGAACGTGACCTTTATGCACCAATTCAAGAAATGAGGGAAGCACCAACACCAGAAGTTGATATTGTAGCAGATGAAACTACAAGATTTACTCAATTTATTGCACGTTACAGACAAATCAAGGATAAAGATGCCCATATTGCGCTTCGTAATGCATTGATAGATCATTTATGGGAGGAATACACTATTTCAGATAGTTAAGTGCATATTAAATTTGTAAATTTTACATTGTTGTTAATGTTTAATTATTTTCTTGTATTTTATTTTCTGTTGTGTTCTTAAATGTAATATTTTGGCAATATCAATAATAAAAATATAATATTTTAGCAATCAAGTTATTTTAATTAATAAAATAATATTTTATTGTTTTATTAGTTTAATTTTTTAAATAATAAATCATTTTGTTTGAAAATTATGTGAAAAAAATAAAATTTGATGTGGGGTTAATTGTTGAAATAGTTAAAAATATAGGGAATAAAAAATAATAATATAAAAATAGATAAAAAAGAATATACTGAGAATATTCTTTTTTGGCGCAAAAAATGGTGCAATGGGTTGGAGATGAATTACTATTAGATGTGACATTTGCAACATTTTGGTATAAAATTTGCACCATTTTGGTACGATGGGTTGGAGATGAATTACTGTTAGATGTGACTTTTGCACCATTTTGGTGTAAAATTTGCACCATTTTTGTGCGATGGGTTGGAGATGCCCTAAAACCTAACGATTACCGTCTTAGCCATCATGTTGAGAAACATGCGAAACTATAACTTTCCACTTTGAGTAGGCTATACAATTTGGTTCCTTTATTCCCAAGTATGCCCCCATTTCCTTGCTTCTCTTGCTAAACCACATGAATCCAAGTAAACAACCCAATTCAACAGCTCAAATAGCTCACCTACGAAGAGATACCAACAATATGATGACAAAAACCTAAACACAGTGACATTAGAGCCTTTATCCTAAATTTTCTGGGTCAGACATAAATCATATTCTTCCATTCAGGTGATCCCCTCCATTTAGCTAACTATTATCGTGTCCCTCTTAATTGCTTGCTTCCAACCAACTTCTTTAAGGTTTACCTCTAGTCTCATCCCTATTAACTATGATTTTGTCATTTCGCCCAGCTGGTGCATTATGCAGCTTGCATGACCAAACTATCTCAATCGATTCAGAGCATCCTCTAAACTCAATATGTCATGTACATAACCGATGGAACCATCTCAATCAGTTCAGATCGTCCTTTAATCCCGTTATGTGGTGCCCATGACCGAGCTATCCCACAAGCAGGCCATCGTAAGCATTCTCATGGCAAAAAGTTTTAAGTATGAACAGAGAATAAAACTAAATAAGGAACTCGGCTAGGCATTATGGCAAACAACTTACATATGTATTGAGCTGCCTGACGAAGCTGGAGAAGTTGCTGTGCTTGAAGTACCTCGGGAGGATGGTCATGGAGAAGGCATGCGGGTCCCACACCACAAAGCTATTGCTGGCCCCACTCCACGACACAATCCCGACGGTGCTCTGATCGTCGACCATCTCGTAGGTTTTCGTCAAGAACGGAGGTGGGCCCACTTCGTACAGTCCCTCCTTGGGCCGAGGAGGGGGAGCAGCAGATGGGCCATCGGAATACTCCACCTTAACTTCAGCGGGAAGAGGATCCATGGCCGGAGACTACCGAGTTCTGATTTCGACCAAGTTCGGATTTTGATTGAGGGTCTGGCGATTACAGGACGCAATAGAAGTGGGTTCTGAAGAAAATCAAGAATCAAGCGATGATAAGGTGAGAAATCAATAGCAAAGTGCGATCAAATCTAGTGAAAAGGGAGATCATGAATCAAAGCGAGATGAGATTTTTGATGCGTCGGTCGGTAATCATATGATCAGACTTAAGTGGGTGTCGACTGAATTTGAGAGAGGTCGCAGGTTTAAGCAAGAATCTCAAGGAATCAAAGCAAGTGTGAGCTTCGGCAACACAAGCACTGATGCGTAGCTATCCAACGAAAGCAGGACAACGAACTGATAAGGGGAGCAGGCTCGTGAGTAATAAGTAGTGGAGGCTAAATATGGTTCGGAAAGTATGTCGGTTAAGAAGCTTCTAGAGAAACACAGGTGAACGACTGGACTGCACTTGGACAGAGGAAGTTCTAGAATGAGAGCCTCTAAAATATCAACAAAAAAAAACCTAGGTTTTTGTTAAGAAACTATTTTCATTTGCTGGGGACCTAAACATATCTGCTATTTTATTTATAACCCACATACACTTTAACTATAAAAATTAAAGAAAATTCGGACAAATTTTCAAAACAGACCTTTTTGGGTTTTTATTTGCAAAAAACGACCTATTTTAAAAAAAATTACAAAAACCGACATGTTTTCAGCCCAGCACTGAAAACAGGTCGGTTTTTGTTAAATTTTTTTCAAAATTGTGCATTTTTAAACTTCACGAGAGTTGAACTCCCGTGAAGTTTAATTTATTCATAAAACTCCACGGGAGTTCAACTCCCGTGGAGTTACAGGCCGCATTTCCCAGAAAGCGCTCTCTGGGAAATGCCGCCTGCAACTCCACGGGAGTTGAACTCCCGTGGAGTTTGGCGCCCCAGCCCGCCCTTATCCTACAAACCCTAACACCTCCTCGTTCCCAATCGCCGCCCGCCCCAGCTCCCGACCGTTGCCCAGGCCAACGCCCGCGGAGCGTCCGACCGCCGCCACCGCCTCCTTTCCGTTCGCCGACGTCAGATCTCAGTCTCAGAGAAAAAAACAGGTAAATTCTTCCTAAAAAAAATTATACTCTCTAATTTTTGTATACTCTCACTACTTGATTGTGATTTCAAATAAAATCTAGATTTTAGAATTTAATTGTGAATTATTTACGAATTTTGTGAAGAAATGTGAAAATTAGAGAGGAAATTATCAATAAATGTGAAAATTAGAGGGGAAATTATCAATAATTTTGTGAAATTTGTGAGGAATTAGTGTGGAAATTATCAATAATTTTGTGGAATTAGTGTGGAAATTATCAATAATTTTATGAAATTAGAGGGTATATTATCAATAAATGAGAAAAAATAGTGTTACTACATATGTATGACATAAATTAGATTTTAGAATTTAATTGTGAATTATTTACAAAGGACAAATTTTCGCATTTAGAATTTAATTGTGGATTATTTACGAATTTTGTGAAGAAAAATTAAATAATTTTGTGCATTTAGAGGTAAAATTATGAATTAATGTAGAAATTAGAGTTACTATCTAAATGTAAAAATTAGTAACAATCAATATTTATTTTGCTTTTCGTGTAATATTGATCTTGAATTTTTCACTCTTCAGAGGTAACGATGAACGATCGAATCATAATTCTCTGTTCTTATGATGGGAAGATTAATTACCTCGAAAATAATATGCCCGTTTATGAAGGAGGCGCGATAAGACCGTTGTTCATAACAAAATCGTGTACTTTCGATGAGTTAGTTAATGAATTACATAAACTTACATTAACTAACTCACGTGAGTATCACCTCAGTGTGGTATGCAATTATCCTGTTGTGGGGAACAGAACAAGTGGCATTCAAATATCAAGTGACTACGATATGGGTCTCATTCATGTCTTACACGACGAGAAGCGTTCGGTCGAATTGTTCATTAAAAAACATCAGAGGAATTTGGGCAAATCGTTGAACTCCCAAGGAATGTATTCCCGCATGTTGGAGGATCCTGAAGTTGATTCTGTAGGCTTTTTATCTCCTCAACAAGATGAATGTTGGACACAATCACAATACATGAGAGGTCCTTCGTTCATGGGCACTTCGAATGCTTTCGATACTAACACGGGAATTTAAGAAGATAATGCAAGTGTCGAATCCGAGAATGATGATGAAGAGGAGGGATTACAAATTAATAGCATGACCTTGATAGATCGTGATGATGGGGAAAACCAACACATCGACGGATGTTATGTTAATAATGAGTATGTCGTCTTAGAGGATCCGGATGATGGGGAAAACCAACACATCGACGGATGTTATGTTAATAATGAGTATGTCGTCTTAGAGGATCCGTCACCCGATGAACTTCAAGGAGATGAATGGATTGATAACTCTGTGATGGAAAGTGTTCCTATTGGCACTAATAGCGGTGTTGATACACTGGCCGAGGACTTCTCATTATTGAAGGGAGATCTTTACGAGAGTAAGGAGAAATTGATCTATGCTATTCGCACGTATTCCATTGCGAAAAATGTGAAGTTCAAACCAACCAAAAATAATACTACAAGCTATAATGTGATTTGTTTCTATCACAAAGATGACGATGTCGAAGATAATAGTGGACACCACGATGGCAATTTGAGGTGTCCGTGGAAGCTTAATTCACGCTCGGGTGTAAGAGTAGACGGGCAATTCAAAATCACGGCATACAATGGACTCCACACTTGTAGCAATCCTCGATTAGAGATGAATAACAAGAATGTGTCCTCTTCTTTTATATATCAATTGATTTTACCGCATCTGAGGGAGGATCATCTAAGGCCGAAAGATATCCGTCTTTTGGTGCATAAAGCCACCAACTTGGATGTATCATATCACAAGTGTTGGAATGCTAGGAGGAAGGCGATGATAAAAATATTCGGGGATTGGGATAAATCGTATGAGATCTTACCGCTTTATCTTGAAGCACTCAAAAGAGAAAATCCGGGGACTGTCTACGAAGTATCTTCGGACTCGGTTGATGGCGGAGAAAGGCGGTTCACCGGTGTATTTTGGGCATTTGGGCCCTGTATTGAGGGGTTTCGATATTGCCGTCCTCTTCTTAGCATTGATGGAACCCACTTATATGGTAAATACAAAGGCGTTTTGCTTTTTGCAACCGTAGTTGACGCGGATGGCGGGTTGTTTCCTTTAACATTTGTTGTGGTTGATGTTGAAAACACAGAGAATTAGACTTGGTTTTTTGTATGCATTAGATATCATATCCCTAGTGTGGGGACGCGGGCGATTACATTCATATCTAATAGGATGAAAGGAATTCCAAGAGCACTCTAACGATATTTCCCTCCACCAGATGCACATTGCTGCGACATATTAGAGACAACTTCAAGAAGAAGTATGGAAATGCTCAGGTTCAAGACTTACTTTGGCAAGCCGGTTGTGCAACAGAAAAATATGTTTATGAATAAATACGAGAGAGGATTAAGTTCATTTCACGAGCTGCACATGATTGGATCGAAACTAGTTTGGGTCCAAACAATATTGATAAGTGGGCTTTATGTGAGGATGGCGGCAAACGGTTCTGTATGATGACTACGAACGCGTCTGAGAGTTTCAATGGCGTGCTCAGGGGAGCACGTGGCATGCCAATATAGGCACTAGTTGCTAAAACTTTTTATAGGCTTAATAAATTATTTCTCCGATGTCGAGAACTTGGTGAAAATATCCGCTCAGAGCTAACACCAAAGGTTGATGAAATGCTAGCGGCTCGGATTGTACAAGCTTGGTCCTTTCAGGTCGTACGATACAGTTTTAATGAATGGGAGGTTATCGAGGGAATAACCCATAGAGAAAGTCGCTCTTACAAAGTCAATATATTAGTGGATCACACTAGTACATGCACTTGCAATGTACCGCAACTATAACTATCAACAAACGTACAAAGAGTGTTTTTGTCCACCGTACGATAGTCGATATTGGACACAAGACGGGCCACGGATATTACCTCCCTTGTATAAAAGATCGACAGGGCGCCCTCGTACCGTGCGTATTAGAAATAGTATGGATGATGGGCGTGAAGGAGCTAGGAGGAGAAATAAGTACAGTAGATGTGATCAGCCGGGTCACAACAAAAATAGGTGTCCAATTAGTATTAGGCGTTGATTTGTATTATGTAGTGTTTTGCACTATGTCAGATCCTGTATGACATTCGTATGATACTCGTATTCGTATTTGTAATATATTCTCTATGACTTGCGTATTCGTATTTGTAATATGTTCTGTATGACTTGCATATTCGTATTTGTAATATGTTCTCGATCAGGCTATGTTCATTTCATCCATGCATTTGTATTATGTAGCGTCTCATATTTCTGTATAGATGCTCATATTTTAATCACAGGTCTTTTCATTATGGATCCGGGACCGATAAATCCCGATGTTTTGTACCTTCAGGCGAGTCATTGTTCAGACCATATTGGTTCGGGACAGGTAATATGATTAAATTTTATATATATTTCTTCGATTTATTAAATTATGCATATACTTAAACATTTTTTGTTCTATGTGCAGCCCGTACCAGACATCACGATGGTCGAGCATTCCTAGAGTCATTCGGCTTGGGTCATTGAGGATGAGAGGGTACTAGAGGTGATCGCTCAGGTCGGATTTCGGGAGCGTTCGACGATTCGATATATTAGGCTTGATTGGCTGCTCATCACTGCACTTATTGAGAGGTGGAGGCCAGAGACCAACACCTTTCACATGCATATAGGGTAGTGCACCATCACCTTACAGGACGTAGCCGTCATACTTGGACTTCATTGATCTGTTGGGAGATCGTGGAGATGCATGTCCCGGACCGTGTGCTACGGCAGTTTACGCTCTCTCAGCATATTCCAGATCCTGTCGAGCAGATCGATCGTCGGCGGTGCCCTACATCGCACCGTACTGACTGGGCTATAGTCCGTGCAGCCTATATAGACAGGTGGGTTCACAGGTGGGATTTCATACAGGATACGAGGCCCACAGCTGTTGACTATACCGCGTATATGCGTTGGTATTGGGATATCATACGTAGATGGATCACGCGTGACCCACAGCCGTCAGCTGGACACATGCCACGCCCACCAACATATAGTTACATCCCTAGTGGGATGAACAAGAGAGATTACGTAAGTTTTTAAGTTAAATTATAACAGTTTTTATTGAATTGGTACTTAATAAATTGTTTACCTCGTAGGTCTATATTTTAGATAGCATTGATGCTGATATTGATGCGCACGTACCAGACATCACAATCGTCGAGCATTCCCATAGTCATTCGGCTTGGGTCATTGAGGATGAGATGGTACTAGAGCTGATCGCTCAGGCCGGATTTCGGGAGTGTTCGACGATTCGATATATT